AAAAAAAAAAAAAAAAAAAAAAAAAAAACCAAAAAACAAAAAACAAAAAACACATGACTTGAACTCCAGAAGCTCCCTTGTGTTCCCTTTCTAGTCACTGCTTTCCTTCCCACTCCTAATGTTTTGAACCTCATAGGAACAAGATTCTTCTCCTTTATGTGTGCTTCATTTCTCTTAATATTATATTTGCAAGTTCACTCAGGCTATTGCTTACAGTTGTAGTCCAGTCATTCCCACTGCTATATATCACTTCAGTGATGAGTAAGTTACTGGCTATCTATTCCACTATGGATAGACATTTGAATTGTTTCGAGTTTGAGGTGCTTGCAAATTGTCCTATTCAGAAAATTCTTGTACATGCTTTTTGTTGAAAGTACTAGTATTGCATTTATTTTTTATATAAGGAAACTACAACTCCCCCAACTCTAAATGGAGACTGAAGTAAAGGAAACTGCATCTTAAAGAGATTAAATTTCAAACATGGGGTCTCACAGAACTAGCTGGTCCAGAAATGGGACACACACCAGGTGTTCCCCCTTCCAAAGTCATTATTTTATTTCTTTCTTTTCCAAAATCATTTTAACCATTACAGTATTTAATGCTTTCCCATTGAGCTTCTAACATGAGATATTTAATTTAAAACTACAATACTTCATCCTTTAGGATTGATTATTAAGTACTTCTTGACAGAATTGCCTATATATAATTTCCAGGTTCCAGTGCAAAATTAAAAATGGGGAACATTTCATAAATTATTAAAATTTCAAGTCAGCAATAGCAGAGTACTAAACCAAGCATGGGTCCTTTTGAAGCATGAGACCCAGTGAGACTGCATAGATGTCAAGCCCATGAAACCAACCCTGGGTGCTGGCATCTTAATGGGTCTACCTGGATGTATATAAAAGAGTTTTTGGAATGTGGATGAGCAATGGCTGCTACTTTCTAGGATGGAATAATCAAACACTGGAACTTAAAAATATGAATATACATTGAATACATATAGAAATTATATAAATAGCATGTGTCAACAAAGTGTATAAAAACAGGACAAGCTAGGTCAAAAGATTGAAATATTCCTACATATTTGGTTACAAAAGGTGTTTGTGTCAATGAGTTTGTTGAGGGGTGGGGGGAAGGAGAGGGGAATAACCTAAGCATGCTTTTTTTTGAAAGTACTAGTATTGCATTTATTTTTTATATAAGGAAACTACAACTCCCCCAACTCTAAATGGGGACTGAAGTAATATAGCATATATTCCCTATATTAATTCTAACTGTTTCAGCCTAGTTTTCAAGGCTCTCTAAAAGCCATTCCCACTCTTCCCACAATTTTCCAACACACACCTGTTTGATCAAGACAGTGTAACTCCACACCATATGGTTACCCCATCTCAGGGCTTCCAAGCATGGCCTGTTCTCTGAAACACTGCTGTACTAACTGCAGATTCTGCCAAGCACATAAAACTCAAGTCCTACGCTCTTTCTGGAATCACCTTCAGTGACAGTCAATCTACCCCATCTGTTCCATGATCCTAGAGTTTGTTATATACTAACAAACAAAACTTTGTTTTATTAACTTATTAACTAATGGACTTTTCCTGCTATTGCCTGGGTGAATCAATACCCATTGTTTTTAAGTAAATAAATCCTTGTTCCTGATTAGTCTGGAGGTATTCAGGTTGCCTTTTGCAGAAACAGAACAATTACATATCAACATCTTGATTTCAACCCATCTCCCTTTGTGATTCTGGAAGCCACTGTTTTCTCTGCCCATTAAATCTTAAAACATGGCATGGCTCCCAGATCAGCAATCATGGATCTGATACTATGCCCCAATTTCGTGTTAAATACTTCTTACAAATCAGCTGAATATTGGCCTAGCTGGGGGGGAAAAAAAAAAAAAAAAAGATTAGTTGATACAATGAAGAGCTGTGGGCTGGGGTTGTAGCTCAGAGGTAGAGTGCTCACCTACCATGCGTGAGGCACTGGGTTCGATCCTCAGCACCACATAAAAATAAAATAAAGATATTAAAAAAAAAAAAAGAGTTGTGTGGCAGAATGGGGATGTTGGTTAGAGACAGAGTGCTTGCCTAGCATTCATGAGGCCCTGGGTTTGATCCCAGCACCAACCAACAAACAAACAACAAAAAACCCCCCCAAAAAGCCAAAGCAAAGAAAAAAAATTAGAACTGCTATGTGGGCTCAAAACAATACACTAAGTTACAAAGTGAAGAGAGGCATTTTTACAAAAGTGAAGAGGAACATTAAGAAAGTATTAATTCTTTGTTTTGCAACCCCCCCCAAAAGGAATACTGAATTCCTAGTTCTAAGAAAATGGTAGGGGGGTGACAGTCAAGGCCCACAAGGTTTCTTAGGCACTAGTCTCAATTAAATGGGACATTGAGTTTTTTATGTAATAAAACGTTTTCTGAATTTAAAGATATTTGTAGGGGCTGGGGCTATAGCTCCGTAGCAAAGTGTTTGCCTAGCATGTGTAAGGCAATGGGTTGGATCCTTACCAATACATAAAAATAAACAACAACAACAAAAAAGGCATGCTGTCCATCTACAACTACCAAAGTCAAAAAAACAACAAAAAAAGATCTGCACACATGAAATCAATGCACAGTTTACAGAATAAAAATAGAAATTACTTTTCATGACATTTCTAACAAAGTCATGTAATTTCAAAATTATATGTTCTAATATAAATTTTGCTAAATTGGAAGTCCTGTGTGTAGGGCTGGGATTGAACCTAGGGTCTCATGTAATGCTAGGCACAGAACAATATATAACTTTTTTTTTCTTTTCTTGGTATTAAGGATTGAACCCAGGGGAACTTTACCACTAAGCAACATGACCAGGCCTTTTTATTTTGAGACAGGGTCTTTCTAATTTGCTGAGGTTGGCCTAGAACTTGTGATCTTCCTGTCTCAGCCTCCTGAGTCTTTGGGATTATAAGCATGGGCCACCTAGCTCGGATTGTTATATTTTGAACTTCTGGGAAAATGTAATATGATATTGTTTTAATGATGTTCTTAATAATCTGAAATTTTTTCATATATATCCATATATCAGAAAAAGAAATATGAGTAACCACATGCCCAAATATTTGGCTAAAAATATGGAAAGTGTAATCAAAGTAACTATCTGGAGATTTGGTTCAAATACCATACTGTGCAGGCTGTGGAGGATGGCAGTGCTAACCAAATCCAGAAAGGCCAGTTGAGCTTCACGAGGGAGGTAGATATATGATCCTAATAGTCTACATCATATACACAAGAGTCACTAAAAATTTGTGTACCCTAAGGACATTGGAAATACACAGGTATTTTGTTGTAAACAATTGCTCTGCTTTTCTGTGCCTGTTGGGTACAGGAGATACTGAGATAGGTACTTACACTTGGCTAAACCTTAGAAATCAAGTCTAGCAAATATAGTCACATATGGATATAGTCACAGGGGCTTCAAAATGAGGGTTCAAGCATCAGGTAAGTGGAGCAGCAGGCTCATCAGATGACTGTTAAGGTTTCTTCTAATTATGACAATATAGATTTCTATAAATATTTTCAAGACATACTCAACTAACTTTATGCATATGTAGCATAATCCCTACATTTCATGCAAATTGAGAACTAAAGATAGCTGGAGAAGCATAAAAAAATAAAAAAAAAATTTGATACAGCCTTTAGTCAGAAGCAAAAAAAAAAAAAAAGAAAGAAAGGAAGGAAGTATTTGCTTGGAAGTGTCACATTGTTACTTAAATATTCAATAAGGGGCAGGGGTTGTGGCTCAGTGGTAGTGTGCTTGCCTAGCATGCGTGAGGCACTGGGTTCGATTCTCAGCACCACACACAAATAAATAAAATAAAGGTCCATCAACAACTGAAAGAAATTTAAAAAAAAATTTCAATATGTCGTTTCCACACTGAGCAGCAAGGCATCCAACTAAGATCATTTTGGATCCCTAAAGAATTTTAAAATATTTCCCCTCATTCCATGAGAGCTTTACTTGGATTATGGGTCAATGCACAGAATATTTTACTTAAGGACATTGGCAAAAGCCATGAGTATACAGATATCTTGAGTAAACAGTTGCATTGCTTTGCTGTGCCTGTTTGGCACAGGAGATACTGAAATAGATTCTAGGATTTCCTATAGGAGGCATTCCCTTTCTAACGCCATTAGCATGTAGGGAATGATTGAGATGGTGATTATCCAAAGGTTGGAAATCTCTGGACTAGTTATTATTCAATGAAGGCCAATTAATAGCACAATTTAGGACAACTGAAACTTAAAATTTCATTACATATCTTGAATTTGCATCACCTTTCCCACATTGTGCTACTGGGAAAAAAATAGAGTCAATGGTGTAATGAATGGAATGTCCCCTTTTAAACTGGCTATATGACATGATATTGGGACAATGCGGGTAGAGATGGGTAGAGATGAGGGAGACAGTCAATTGAGGAATCTTCCCTAATTTTTTATAACACTTTCTCCTTCCTGTCTGGTACAAAATCTTTACCTACTAATAGCATTGCAATCTTAAGGCTTACTTTTCAATTCATTATAGGGTCCTGAAATAATTTCTTGGTTTAAAGGCAAACATGAATTGGTAATTTTGATTAAATATTAAAAAATTCAAAATTAAGAGCAAATAATCTCATGGAATGTATCATAATATATAAAAACGAAAGAAAATTATTTTGTGAAGTACCATATTTTAACACGTGTGAGTATGTGTACTCTTGTTCTTGTACTCAAGGCTTTCCTTAGTTCAATGTAGCACTATTTATTGGATTCACAAAAGGCATAAAGTTGTCCTTGAAACAGTCTAAGAGCAGTTCTTAATAAGAGGAAAACATTCATTTTTATCACTCAAAAAAAAAAAAATCACCACAAACAAAAACAGAAAACACTGTCACAGTGAAGCAATTTATGAATTCCCAAGCTTTCCCACCTTCCTTCTTCAGGGAGGTACACCAATTAATCAAAAGCCATTACTGCCCAGGGTCCAGTACTGGTCCAGAGGTCTAAATCTCCTTCAGGATTTCAACTCTCATTCTTAAATACAGAACTTTGATTGAAATGCCCAGCATGGAGAATAGTAAAACTATCAAACTCTATTTCACTGCAAATGTCAGGCAGTTTGACTTTTTATGGGGAATTCATATTTCAAATTTGAACATATCATCCTCTGCCACAGCTGGAGCAGAAGTATCAATGAAGTGAAAACAAAAGGTAATACTTTTACTTTGCAGTGGATGATGGATAAAATTTAGAAGTCCTAAATGACTCTGCTTTGAATTCTTAGTAACCTCTGAGAGTTGCTGCAAGGATTAAATACAGTAATCTATGCAAAGCACTTGACTTGGCTTCAACAAATGTTAATTACCTTTATTATTTCTTTAAGTTGGGCAGAGAACCTCTGAAGTAGTTCTGAAACCCAGAGCAGCAAAGGCTTGTTCACATGCAACAATTCTAATTTCTACAATAGTCCATTCTATCATTTGGCTCTATATTGTAGATGGTAGAACAGCAGCCAATAGCTACAGGTGGCTACTGAGCACTTGAACTGTGTGTATTCAAAATTGATACGTACTGTTAAGTGTAAAGCGCATATTAAATTTGGAAGACTCAATATGAAAAAAAACACAATCTCTTTTTATTTTTTTTTTATTTTTTCATTGAAATAATTTTGAATATATTGGGTTAAATGAAACCTAAAATTCATGTTTCGTTTCACTTTTTAAATGTTGCCACAAGGAAACTCCTAAATAGATCGAATTATCTTCATAGTGGTCAGAGGTGAGGTAGAATCTTGCTAACGAGGACTAGTAGCACCTGGGAGCTGGTTTGTAAATGTAGGTCCTTAGGGCGAGACATACAGAATCAGCATCTGCATATGAACGTGATCCTATGATTGTTCCCATGTGTCTCTCCCGTGTATTCCGCTATTTAGTTTAATGAAGAGGACAAATCTGGCCCTAAGGTCACATAAATAAGAATACCCTTGCTCTAGGTAATTGCTTACTGAAAAACGAAAGTCTACAGGAAGCAAGCAAAGGCAGAAGAGTAATGAAGCAAGAAACTCAAATATAGGAACAAAAAGAAGTGGAAGAAACAAAATTCAAACTGGGAGATACAGCTGGAAGAGAACTTCCAGACCTTCGCCTCCATAAATGTGAAGGAAGATGGAAACTAAGCCAAAATCTACAATCAAGACCTGCAAAGCGCAAGGAAGCTGCCAGTCAAATTTAGTCTTACCCGCCCCTCAGTAGCCTCAGCTAGGTAGGCCAGAGCCCGAGTGAGTCCAAGGCTGGGGAGCTTCACGAACCACCAGCTCTCCCAGGGTTACACTGTTCCTCGGGATGTCTCTCCATCTTTCGCCCACAGTCCCTTTTCTCCAGACACATAACATGCTTCCCGGGGCTCACCTGCCTCCAAGCAGCCCCAACTGCCAGCGCCTTCGCCACCGCCACCTTCCAGTCTTTCTGCAGGGAACCCGCCCCCTCGAAATCAGATGGTACTCCCATTGGTCCGACAGTTCGTCACTCCTGCAGGGCGGGGCCGGGCTCCAGGAGGCTGTAGAAAACGCCATAGCAACCAAACTCGGAACTACAACTCCCAGCATGCTCCAAAAGGGGCGAAGCGATGTACCGCCCCATGGGCTACCAATAAATGGGCGAAGTTGAAGTCGCCCGGATGGGTTCCGTTTTATGCAAATCTAAGTTAAAGCCACACCCTTCCTCATTCCAACTGAGCCCCCCTACTACACCCTCCTCGGGCTGTACCCTGACTCCCTTTTCTTCTCCACTACATACTTTCCGGTAAAACCTTACGTAATTTAGTTGAATGCATCGTAGCCATTGTTTCGCACGGCAGCGAGCAGATGCACCAAATGGTGGAAGAAAATCTCCATAAATCCTAGACCCGAAACCTTTGGTTACGCCTTTGTGGGAGGAGGGGCAGGAGAGGAGGAAGAGGTTTTTCTCTCCGAGCCTGTTGATTGGCTTATCTGTGTGTCATTCCGTACTCCTCCATTTTTCTTCAGCTCTCTCTCCTAGCATCCTCCGGTGGGCAGGGCCAGCGGTAGGGGGCGGTGAGGAGGTGTGGTCATCTTCTTTCGATTGGCAGACGGTTGTGACCACCTATCTGTGGGCGGAGACCGAGGGGTGGATGGGGGCGGAGGAGGCTACGGAGGGAGATGAGGAGATAGGCGGGAGCGAGGGAGGGAGCGAAGGAGGTAGAGAGGAGTGGAGGAGCGTAGGGAGGGAGCGCAGCTTGGTTGCTCCGTAGTACGGCGGCTCGCGAGGGAGACTCCCGAGCGGGCTCCGGGACGGGCGGGCAGGCGGGCGGGGATGGTGTGCGGGGCTGCGGCTCCTGCGTCCCTCCCAACAGCGTGTGAGCTGCACTGATTTGTGCCTGGGGCGGCAGCGCGGACCCGCCCGGAGATGAGGTGAGGAGCTGGCTGACGGCGGCGGCCTGGGCTGTGGGAGGTGGCGCGGGGGCGGGGGTCGGCGCGGGGGTCGGCGCGATGGCCGCCCGGGGCGCTGGTCCCGCTGCTCCTCGCGCGTCCCTCCGGCCGCCCTTCATCCTGTGCGGCGCACGCGGGAGGCGCGGCAGCGGCCGCCGGTCCACCTCGTCCTCCTCATCCTCCCGGGAGCTGCGGCTGGGGGCCGGCTGGCCGGCAGCGAGAGGCCGGGCTCCCGCGGCGGGGCCTGGGAGTGGCGGCAGCGGGACGGGCTTGGGGTTGAATGGGCGTCCGCAGCCCTGGTCTGGCAAGCTGGCTCCCTCCTTAGGGGGCATCGCGGTCGGGCGTTCCTTCCAGGGCTGACCTCGCTGCCCTCGGCCGCCGGAGGGTGGCGGGCCGGCCCAGCCTCACCAGCTTCCCGGGAACCCGAGCTCGCCGGGAGCAGCCTCGCGCCTCCCGCCTGTCGTGTCTCCCGCCGCCCCCCCACCCCGGCCTGGAGTCCCCGGCTCATCCTTTTTTCTTTTCTCTGGCGTGCCTGCAAAATCCTGTCAGTGAAGGGCAGTCAATGCCGTCTGGCCCTAAGGGGTGCTGCCGGGACTGCCTCTGATGGTATTTAACAGAAAACGGCTCCCTTGGCAGTGTGAGCGCGTCCCTCGGAGTCTGCGGCTTCTCCTTCCCTCCCTTAGTCGCGGACTCAGGTTTCTGGTATGGACCCACGGCACAATTGCGGCCACTTCTTGCTTGGACGAGGAAATGTAATCCGAATTTCCAGAAAAAGGAAAGCAGCGAGGAATGGGTTGCACCTCCCCTTACTTTTTTTTGCTTTTGGATTAGAAGACAACTTCTGGATTACCTTTCCTATGGTCAATCTTTTGTGTGATTCAGACTAAATGAAGAAATAGATTAGCAATTTCTCGATTGATAGGTTCTTGAATATGAAAGTTTCCTTTCGAACTTTGCCATCATTAGTGCTATTTAGAAAACAGAACCAACCTGAAAATTTGAATGTACTCAGCTCTGGCTAGATGCGGTTCTTTGTGCTTATCTGTTAGCATCCTTCTCTTGGCTGTTTCTGTGGTCAAAAACGTAGAGATAATAAAGACAAGTCCAATAAAAGTATAGATAATAAAAACAAATATCATACAAATGCATCTGGTAAATCTCAATTCTGTCATTGGATAGGCAGATTTACTAATCCCATTAAACGGATGAAGAGAAAGGCTCAGAGTTAATGCATGGATTATGTAGTGGACAGGATGTGAGGGCAGGAACTGGGGCCAGGAGCCAGCAGTCCAGCTAGTTTGCATGGTCCCACTCTAAACCCCCCAAATAGGAGGAATGTATTTTTGGGATACCTTTATTTTTAGATGACTAGGCTTGAGAGTGAAGTAGCTTTATTACTCTTCATAGTTGTTATGTCTGTTTTTCTGTCTCTGAGAACAAAATACTGTGTTTTGCTTAACAAAATTTTCATTAGTTTTCTTGAAACATTTATGTGGTTTTCATGGGAGTTGACCTATATGAAAAATTTTCAAAAATAAAAATTTGGGGTCTGGGGTTGTAGCTTAGCAGCAGAACACTTGCCTTGCACGTGTGAGGCACTGAGTTTAAACCTCTGTACCACATAAAAATAAATAACTAAAGGCATTGCGTCCATCTGGAACTAAAAAAAATGAAAAAAAGAAGTGAAAATTCTGCAGGAGTTTATAAAGAACTAAGGAACTTTTAAGTGATCTAAATTAAGAAATGAAGAATAGGGTGATTGGGTTAAAAATCTTTCAAACACCTGTAAGTAACCCAATAAGGAGCCTTTCCGATAGTACATTAAAAAAAAAAAAAGTATTTCTTTAAGAACGTATTGCTGAGGAGCATAGTACTTTTACAAAACTCTATTATTATTCTGCCTGAGTAAGAGAGGAAATGAACACATTTTTAATGTACTTTGGAACCCTCTGGATTGTTCAGATACTAAGCATTGTGAAATAGGGCATAAAATGAGTGGTACCAAGTTAGTTCCATGAAATGTTTGTCCATGTTAGCATTTTTTTTTCCAGTGACTGGCAATTTCCTTTTTCTTAATGCTTATCTCTAGTATTGGTAGTAGAATTCTGCATAAATTTTATCTTTTCCCTAGATGTCTAGATTGTGAGGCACACCCTCAAAGCTATTATGAGATTAAGAGGGAGGTGCTGGCAAATTCCTCCACTCATACTCATTTCTCCACCCCACCCCCCCTTTTGGTGATGCTGGGGATTGACCAGGAGCTGGAGCATGCTAAGTAGTGCTTTGCCACTGTGCTACCCCTGTCCCCCAAACTTATCAAATTTGCTAAATTGTGAGTTTTAGAGAATTAGTTATATAAAGATTGGGTTGTATCACTCAGATTCCACTGCCGCAGAGCTGTTCTCTTTTGAATGGCCATTCCCTCCTAAATGACTCCACTTACAAGGTTGGGTTTCTCAAAGTCTGGGCTTCATATCTCTTCCATCTGCACTAACTTGGGAAAAATGAAGTTTTCTTTCACCTCAGCTCAGACAGCCAGAGATGGGGCTCTGGAATCAGTATTTTCAGCAAGTTTTCCATGAACTTCTGAGCAGTAAAGTTGGAGAACCACTGGTATTGTGCTTCCTGTTTACTGAGTATCCCCTAGGACCAGCTCCTGAAGTAGATAACAAGTTTTTCAAGTGGCAGAATAAGTTTTATACCCTAGGCTGCTAATAAAAAGTCTATGACCTTAAAATGAGTAATTGTACTTTCATGTATGTTTCAGAAGGGCAGAGACCAGTTCACTCTGATATGCCTGGTGCCTGGAGGAACTCAATTAAATATTTGTTGAGTGAATGATTGAACTACATTGCAATGAGGCCAGTTTTTTACACTTTTACTTGTCAAATTAATTGCATCACTTAGCAGTCACTAAGTTTTATAAATTAGGAGCAACAAGAACTATATCCCAGTTATTTCTTTAACTTTAGTTAGTGTTGAAAGGAGAGAGTCTCCTTGGCATGGAGTGTTCAAGGTGATATGCTAGGAAGAAGACTAAGCAAAATATTTATTTAGGTACTCAAAACATAAATTTAAGTTACAGTGTGGTGGTAAATCATTTATTATCATTATATTGCATTCCATTTTGTAAACCATGATAATCCCAACTTCCTACTATAAAAATTAGTTTGCAGGAAATAGGTAATTGGTGTGTTTTCTAACTTAAAATATGACCTTTACACCCCCTTTTCAGAGTCTACCATAGGATCCCATAAATAACAAGTGGTTATATAGTTGGGGTTGGAGAGTTCAGAGCACAAACTGTGGAGAATGTTGGATTTGATTACACATTCAGTGACTTTGATCAAGTCACATAACTTCTTCATGCCTCAGTTTTTTCAGCTGAAAATGGGAGTAGTAGTGAAATTTAAATACTACTAAACACATACATAAATTCTTAAGACATATCCAGTGAATAAATGGTAATTAACATTGGTCATAAAGAATTGGGTTATATGAAAATATATAAAATTTAAAAGCTAACCCATTTAATTTTTGCACTATTGTACTTTAGGGTAGTAATAGAAATTCATTGCTTTAAAATGAAATCCCTTGGGCTGGGGTTGTATCTCAGTGATAGATCATTCACCTAGCACTTTCAAGGCCCTGGGTTCGATCCTCAGTACCACATAAAAATAAATAAATAAAATGAAGGTATTGTGTCCAATTACAGCTAAAAAAAATAATATTTTAAAAAAGTGAAATCCCTTGCTGATTTCTAGGTACTAGACAGTAAAAAATTGGTACTTTAAAAAAATTGGATTACTAAACTAGACGTTAAATTCATTACCTCAGTATGTGTCTCATCTGATTTTTTATTTTTGTATATTCATGTGGCTATTCATACACAACTTTTAGTAACCTATGGTTGTTTTCTAACCTGTCTTTATTTTTATAACATCTTACAAATGTCTTTCCATATGTGTGTTGTTTTAATAACTGAATAATATTCCATTTTATGGATCTACAAGAATTTAACCAATTTATTTTTATTAGACGTTAGTTGCCACCCCTACCCTGCCCATTATCAGTAACTTTGCAATGATTAGGCTATATGCACACACAGATCTCTCTCTCTCTCTCTGTACTGGAGATTGAACCCAGGATCTCACACATGCTAGGCAAGCACTCTGCCACTGAGCTACATCCCCAGCCCTTACATGTCTCTGTATACCTTTGAGATTTTTTTTTCCCTCAGATAGGTTTCTAGAAGTGGAATTGTTGGTTCAAAGGATATACTATACCTTAAAAATTTTTGATACATATTTCCATCTGCCATTTAGAAAGGTTGTAGCAATTTACACTCTTGCAGTGGTATATGAATGTTCCAGTCTTCATCCTCTCCAAACCCCTTTTTGGAATGACTTAACCAGTACTACAAATCTAGTGAATATTTTCCTTTAGGAAGAAGAATGGCTTTTTAGTAGAGCCTGCTTGATAGGGGGATTTGGAAACTCAGAAAATTCATGTACCTGTAATAGTGATAGCTAGTATCTATCAAGGCCCCCCCCCACTTTTTTTTTTTTTTTTTGTGGTGGTGCTGGGGATTGAACCCAGGGCCTTATACATGCCAGGCAAATACTCAACCAACTGAGCTATATCTCCATCCCCTGTCAAGTCCTTTTGCAACATTTATTTGCATTAAATTCACTGAATCTTCATGAAATCTCAGTTTTACAGATGAATATGTCTTGAAATCTGAGATATCACCAGTTAAGTAAATTAGTGGACCAGCTAGTGGCTGAGGAGATTTTTGACTGTAGAGTCTAAACTTTTAGTTTATTTTCTGAACCTATTTTATACGCATTTGGGTACTTTTTTTTACAGTCTTGATTTTTTGTTATGGAGTAACTTAGTGGTTCCCTGGGGTATACTAATGTGTGTGTGTGTGTGTGTATATTATATATTATATGTATTATACACTAATATAATGTACATAT